ATATCTTGAAAGAATTCAATTATTTTCAAAAAAAAAGTTCTTCGAAGGAATTTAATTATTTTCAGAACAATTTCAATAAAATTTCTCGAGAGAATTAAATTATTTTCGCAAATTTTAATAAAATTCATCGAAAAAATTCAATTATTTATAATTTTTAAAAGTTTGAATAAAATTCATCGAAAGAATTCAATTATTTTCAAAATTTTTGATACAATACTTTATTAAAATTTAATTACTTTCAATACAATTTAAACTAAATTGCTCGAAAAAATTTTAATTTTCTTTCAAACAATTCAATTATTTTTAAAGAATTTTAATTTTTAATATTATTGAAAGAATTTAATTATATTCAAAAATTTTGTTACAATTTTTTATCGTAATTGAATTATTTCAATTCAATCTTAACTAAATCTTTCCAAAGAATTTAAATTTTTTTCAATATTATTAAATTATATTCAAAGAATTTTAATTTTTCTTTTGGAATTTATAAGGACTAAGTAATGATTATTATTAATTATATGAATTAAAAATTAGTTATGATTGATTGGTAATTGTAACTATTGATTTTGAAATTAATTACTATTTTTACTTTACATTCAAAATCCAAAGACTTTGGAGAAAAGCTTCGAAAAATGAATAAAATTTTTAACTTTTTTAATAATTAATAATTGTTAATAATAAAAATAATAATATTTTAATATAATTAAATACCGTATATTTTTATTTTCGTCTGAAAATGTTTTCTTGTATTTTTTATATATATAATAACATTTGTCTTTTCTCTTCCCCTAATATCGTCGATATCACGTTAAAACTATCGCGTATAATAAATATTTAAAACATGAATTTTTTTTTAAACATTTTTATAAAGTATATGAACTTGTATCTTTTCGTCCTCGTTCTCTCTATCACACATACATTTTCTCTGATAATAAAAAATTTATCTTTTTTTTTCATCCTCTTCATAAATAGTGTGTACATATAACAACGATATTATATGGTAACGTAACATTTTTTCTTCTTCATTTTTTTTTTTTGCTAACAGTATAACGATTTTTATTAAATAGTGTCATAGCGTGACATCGAGAGGATTGAGGGAATCGCGCTGAGAAAGTGACTGCTCATTATTTATAGTAGAGATGATGAATAATTATATAGTTAGTAGAAATTTAGATCAAAGATTTATTTTTGTATATTATGGTAAATTTTTTTTTTCTTTTTTTTAAATAGAGATAATAGAGAGTTTGAAATAAGTGTTTTTGTGTGGGGACTGCGTGGGTGTATAATATGTGCATTTACGCAATTTTTTTTCTTCAAATTCTTTTGCGCATCTCGACGCACGCACCTGCCCTTGGACTTTTATTTTCTTTTATTATTTTTTGTCTAAATATCGTCAACTTTTTCCATTCCTTCCTTATACTTTTTATTTCCTTTCGCTCTCTTTTATCATCATCATCATCATCATCATAATAATTATAATAATCATAATTATCCTCATCATTATCATCTTCATCATTATCATCATTAATTATAATTTATAATATTTATAATCCTTCTGCTTTTTCTTTTTAAATATCTAAATATAAAATTTATCCAAAGAAAGTAAAAGTATAATTTTCTAATTATATTTTCGTTAATTTTATATTTCATCTTTTTTTTTTACTTTTTGGTAAAATTATATATTTTTTTGTTGATCGATCGGAATTTTTAGTTTGTCACACGCACGATTCGGGACCAAAAAATACTGGTATTTTAAAATATGTGTCATCTCTATTTTTTTAAATTGGGTCTTAATGATTTTTCCTTGTCTATGAAATATTATCGATTGTTCTTTGATTCTGTTTCTGATGCTTAGCTCCACGCAAAGAAGAAACTTGAGCCCTTGGAAGTTATTTCCGAAGTAGGTACTTGAAAGTTATTTTATGATTCAAGGTCTCTTTTGTGCATAAGTGCTGCATTTTTTCATCTAATCACTATTTTTTTCATTTTTCTTCCCTTTCAAAAATAAAATATTTTTTGCTTTATTTCAAATTATTTTGCTCTTGATTATTAAAAAAAAATTTTTTTTCTTTTCTTTACTTTTTTTCTACATGAAATTTCAAAAAAAAATTTTAAACAAATAAGGGTATAAAGAAAAAAAAATGAAGTAAAATGTAGGAAAAAAGAAGAAAGAAGTTTAGAAGAAAAGAAGAGTAGAGAGTAAAAAGAAGAAGTTGGTGAAAGATAAGAAAAAAGGAAAAGTTAGATAAAAAGATAAGAGAAAAGTAGGGGATGAAAAAGAAGTGAAATATCAGTAGGAAAGAAGTAGAGAAAAAAAGAGAAGTAAAAAATTAGTGAGAAAAAGAAGTAAAATATTTGAAGAAATAAAAAATAAGTAAGAAAAAAGTGGAAGTGGAAGAAGAAAGTAAGAAAAAGAGGAAATGAAAGAAGAAAAAAGAGAAAAAAATTATCTTTAAAAATCTAACTTTTCAGAATTTTAAATAAAATTCTTGAGAGAAGATTATTTATTTAAAAGCAAAAATGTCAATTATTTTCAATATAATTTTAGGAAATTTCAATTATTTTCAGTGCAATTTTATAAAATTTTAATTTATTTGAATAGGTTTAAAGAAATTTCAATTATTTTTTTAAGTAATTTTTTTAAATTTTACTATGTTTTAAAATCTAAGAATTTTTAATAAAATTTTTGAAAAAAGATAATTTTTACATTTTAGAAAAAAAAATTGCAAACTTTCTTAATATAATTTTGGAAAATTTCAATTATTTTTAATGTGATTTCAGAAAATTTCAATTATTAGAATAAATTTTAAGAAATTTTAAGAAATTTCAATTATTTGAATAAATTTTAATTATTTTCAATGTAATTTTAGACAATTTTAATTATTTGAGTAAATTTTAAGAAATTTCAATTATTTTTAAAGCAATTTTTGAAAATTTTAATTCTTTGAATAAATTTCAATTATTTTTAAAGTAATTTTTGAAAATTTCAATTCTTTGAATAAATTTCGATTATTTTCAATGTAATTTTAGAAAATTTCAATTATTTGAATAAATTTCAAGAAATTTCAATTATTTTTAAAGTAATTTTGGAAAATTTCAATTATTTGAATAAATTTCAATTATTTACAGTGTAATTTTAAAAAATTTCAATTATTTGAATAAATTTGAGTAAATTTCAATTATTTTTAAAGTAATTTCAGAAAATTTCAATTATTTGAATAAATTTTAAGAAATTTCAATTATTTTTAAAGTAATTTTTGAAAATTTCAATTATTTGAAGTTAATTAAAAAAATGTCGGAAGTTGGAAAATTAGTGAAAAAAAGAAGTGAAATTTTAGGAAAAATAAAAAAGGACTAAGGGAAAAGTGTGAAAAAGAGAAATAGTATTAAAAAAAGGTCAGAAAAAGTCAGAAAATGTATTAAAAAAAGAAAAAAATAAAGAGAAAATGGTTAAAAAAAGGAGAGAAAAGTTTAAAAAAGGAGAAAAAGTCTAAAAAAGAAGAAAAAAAGTACAAAATAACTAAAACAGAATAAATTTCCCAAACAGCATCAAAAAATCCCAAGAAACACTCGAGAATATTCATATAAACAAAAAAAAACCATTAAACCCCCAAAAATCAAATTTTTTCAAAATTGATTCGAATCATCTGAGAAATTCACGACGGAAACATTTGAGAACTTGACGTGTACCCGTTTTTTTTTTCTTATTTATTTATTTATAATTTTTTCTCTATATCAACAATCGCAAATTCTGCTGGCAGTTGCATGCGTTGTTCGTTTAAATATTATTTTCCTTTTTTTTGTTTTCTATTGTTTTTCTCGCATTTGAGAGCGTCTAATTTAATAACGAAATTCCGCTGTTGTAACCGGAATTTTTTTTTAAATCCAAATTCTCCGCAAAAAAATTGAAGATTTTTTCAATCAAATTCTCATAATGAGAAAGATTTATCGTTTTGCGATAGATTCAAGAAAAGAAAAAGAAACGGAATTTTCGTTCGCAGCCAATTTTTGTGAAGAAAACCTTTAGGTATATAATTAATTAAATTAAAAAAAACACACAAAATTAATATTTAAATAGATTAAATATTAATAGATATTAATATTAAATCCTGATATTGATATTAATGATCTTTTTTTTTCATCTCACATGGTATAATTATTGTTCATTTAATACATTATTTTTATGAAAAAATTACGCGTTATTGTCATAGGTCAAATTTTTGTCCTCTCTTTTCTCATTTTTTTTTTTTTTTGTTTCATTTATTTCTACAGTAAAACTTTCAAATGCTCTCTTCAATATGGAAACGACAAAATAGAATTTATAACATCAACTAACTATATTGTACAGTAGCAAAACTTTTGCAAAACACTTCCCTAAAATTAGGTCCATGTTACTAAATCTCTTGGAGCAGGAGAAAGTTTTTTTTTTATTATTTGCTTTTTTATTTCTTTTTTGGATCGAAAAATTTGAACTATGAGAATTTTCAAACTCGATTCAGATTTTAATGAAATATTTGAGAGACTCTTAAGAATTTATTAAATAGGTACAAATGAAGTTTGGAAGAGTTCCACCCTTTCTTTGAGGAAAAGACTTTACTTTCTAAAAATTTATTCTCTAGATAAGAAGATTTAAATTTAATTTTTTTTTCATTTTTTTTTAAAATTCTCGTGTTTTTTTTCAAATTGTGAATTTCTATATATATGTATATATTTTTTTTTACTGTTTTTCGTCTTTTCGATTATTTTCTCTCTCTCTCTCTCATACAAACATTTTTACGTACATACAAACACAATTTGTTTCATTCGAAAAATTGTCAAGACTAGAACTAGATTTTTTATTATTTTTATTCTCATACTCTCACTGTCTTCGTCTAGATTTAATAGAGCCGCTTTCTTAAAGACGAGTATTATTTCGCTCAGGTATATTTCAAGGTTTATACATATGTACACTGCTTGAAGATCGTTTTTTTTTTTTTGTTTTTCAAAAGAAAAGGAAAAAATTTTTATTTTTTTTGGAGAGGAAAGGTATTGTGCCAGGTTTTTTTTGTTTTTTTTTTTTTTTTTTTTTGTCAAAATGGAGTCACCAATTTTTATCTAAACGGGACACCTGACTACCTCATACTCAAACATGAGTGAGACGGCAACGAAGACGAAGTAGAGAAGGAACATAGTGAAGCCGAGACTTTTGTTCATTCGCCATTTAAAGCAGGCGATGCTTAGAATTACGAAAAGAAGCATGCAGAACAAGATCGCTATACTGCAGACCATTCCCACTGAGTTCACTTCCACAGGTTTCCCGTAGATTATACCATAGATGAGCCATGGAATCGGAAGCCTGTAAAAAATTTTAAAATATTTATTTTATTACAATTTTTTTCTATTAAAAACAATTAACTGCACTGAAAAAAAATTTATTTCATTCCCAGGGAACGAATCAGTGAAAGTATTTAAAAATACGGACTTTGCGGACCAAAAATGCAAAATTACGGACCAATTTTACTTAAAAATAGAAATTAAATTGAAAAATTGACAAAAATTATTATTTTATATTATAAGAACATTGTACTTATCTTCAAAATTATTTTCATCATTTCAATTCAATTATTATTTTTAAAAATTTTTAACTAAAATATATCTTTAAAGAAATTAATTTTCGAAAAAGTTCTTTGACAATAATTTTCAAATCCATTTCTTTACAATATTCAATTTTACGAATTTCAATTATTCGTAAATTCTTCAATTAAATATACATTAGAAAATAAAAACTTCAAATAATACAAAAAAAATTCAATTAAACTTTTTCCAAAAAATTAATTTTAAAATTCAATTATTTCTAAAAATTTACGCTACATTATTCAATTATTATCTAAAATTTCAACTGAATTTTTTTTTTAAATCAATTATTATTAGAAAATTCTACTAGAATTCAATTATTCAAATATAAAAATAAATCATTTATTATTTCTTAAAATTGAATTCTCATAAAGAATTTTATCAATAAATTTTTAAATAATTAAATTCTTTCGACGAATTTGAATACAATTTTTAAGAATAATTAGGTTTTTCGAAAAATTCGATTAAAATTTAATTAAAAATAATTGAAATTCTGAGATTAGTTTCATTATTGGTGAAAATAATTGAATCCCTGTAAAATTGTTATTATTCATGAAAATAATTGAATTATTGCGAAGAAATTTATAAAAAAATTTGTAAACAATTGAAATTGAAATTGAAATTTTGATTATTTATGTAAACAATTAAATTTATTTTTAATAATTGAATTCTTTTAGAAGATTTTATTAAAATAGTAGATATTGAAAATTATTGAATTGTAGAAAAGTGTTGAAAATAGTTAAAATTTTAACAATTTTTAAAATTAAAACTTTTTCTAAATTCAATTACTTCTAAAAATTTATCCTAAAATGCTCTTAATGTTCAATTATTTTGTAAAATTTCAACTAAAATTCATTTTTAAATCAATTTTTATTAGAAAATTCTATTAGAATTAAATAATTTAAATACACAAATAAATAATTTATTGCATAATTGATTGCTTCTTAAAATTGAATGCTCGTAAAGAATATTATCAAATAACTTTTTAAAAAAGTGAATTCTTTCGACGAATTTTAATAAAATTTTTAAGAATATTTAGTTTTTTCAAAAAATTCGATTAAAATTGTATTAAAAATAATTGAAATTCTGCAATGAGTTTCATTACTTGTGAAAATAATTGAATTATTGAAAAGAAATTTAAAAAAAAGTTGCAAATAATTAAATTCCTGAGAAATTTTTATTATTTATGTAAATAGTTAATTTTATTTTAAATAATTAAATTCTTTTAGATAATTTTATTAAAATAGTAGATATTACAAATTAAATTAAATTAGAATTTTAGAAAATTTTTTAAAATAGTTTAAAATTTTGTCAATTTTTAAAATTAAACCTTTTCTAAATTCAATAATTTCTAAAAATTTATCCTAAAATTCTCTTAATATTCAATTATTATGTAAAATTTTAACTAAAACTCATTTTTAAATCAATTTTTATTAGAAAATTCTACTAATTAAATTATTATTTTAAGAAACATTCAATTAATAAATTATTTAATTTATTAATTGAATGTTTCTTAAAATTGAATTTTCATAAAGAATTTTATCAACAAATTTTTAAATAATTGAAATTTTCTTGACAAATTTTAATAAATTTTTTAAGAATAATATGATTTTTCGAGAAATTCGATTAAAATTGTATTAAAAATAATTGAAATTCTGTCGAGAATTTTATGAAATTTTCGAAAAATAATTGAAATTTTGCCGAGAATTTTATGAAATTTTTGAAAAATAATTGAATTCTTGCTACGAATTTTATGAAAATTTGGAAAACTAATTGAATTCTTAAGAAGAAATTTATTAATTTTTTTTTAAATAATTGAATTTTAGCGAAGAATTTTATAAAAATTATTTTAAATATTTGATTTTTTTCGAAAAATGTTATGAAAATTGTGTTTGAAAATAATTGAATTCCTGTGAAAATTTTATTATTTATGAAAATAATTGAATCCCTGTAAAAATTTTATATTATTTATGAAAATAATTGAATTGTCGGGAAAAAATTTATAAAAAATTTTCAAATCATTTACAAAGATTTACGGACCTAGTTCGAGACCTGCATTCCAATAACCGATTACTTGACTACCTAGGTATATAAACATTTATTTGAATAAAATAATTTTTTTTTTCAGTGTATAATTGTTGAGAAACAATTTCTCCTTTACAATTTTTTTTTAATTTTCTTTTCTTTTATATAATCCTTGTCTGACTTAAAAGAAACTATACTACTTAATATAAAAGAAAATTAGATTTATAATTTGAAAAATAAAAATGTGTGTAACTAATTGTTAAAATAAATCTTATTCTTTTTTAAAAACAATTTTTGATAATCAGGGAAAAAATGAGAGTCAGTTTAGAAAAATTCTTGTCTGACTCAAAAAAAAAACTCTACCACTTACAATAAAAAAAATAAGGTTTGAAAATTCAAGAAAAAAACTCTATTTAACTAGTTGATAAAATAAATCTTATTCTTTTTTAAAAACAACTTTTTATAACCAGGAAAAAAATATAAGCCGGTTAAGAAAAAAACTTGTCTGACTTGAAAGAAACTCTACTACTGACAATAAAAATATTAGCAGGTCATTTATTATATTTTTAAAAATTTTACTCATTAGATTATTATTTTTATTATAATTTTTATTTTATTCATTATTTTATTTGTTATTTTTGCTACTTCTCCAGATTTTTAAGACCAAGTTTTATAAAAAAAAATTATCCTCTTCGTCTGACTGAAACTATTTTGTTCCACTGAACTTAATGGATATTAAAAGCAATATATTTTTTAAATTGTGGCTGACTTATAATATTCATCTACTACTTAATTTAAAAGCTACTTCCAAATGTCTGAGAGAATTCATCTTTTACTACTAATATAAAAATAACGACTCAAGTCAGTCTGAAATTATTTTTTTCCTACGAATTCCAACGGATAAATAATTTAAAATAACTTGTCTGACTAAAAAGGGAATTTACTACTAAAAACTAAAAGAAAAAATATAGAATTAATCATTATATTAATAATTTTTTCTACACTACTAAAAATAATTAAATTTTAATAACTTTTTGTCTGACTTAAATTGTCAAGAAATGGAAAATCAACTAGTCTGACTGAAACGAAATTATACTACTGTCAATAAATATAATTACCGTCTAGTTATTCAAAAAAGAATTTTTTTTATTTCATAAAAATTTTCAATGATTTAAAAACAATTTAGTCTGACTCAAATGAAACTTTACTACTGAGAATGAAGCAAAAATAATTGTTAAGTATTTTGTCTGATTAATTTGAGAAACTAAAAATTTTGTTTTTTTGCCAAATTTAAAAAAAATATACTTTGTCAGCCTTCAAACTGAATTTATTTCAAACAAAAATTTAAATTAGTTAATTATTTTTAATAATTTGAAAATAATTTAATTCAAATAATCTAAGGAATTATTAATAAGAAATATTATAATTTATAAATCATATTTATATTTTTAACTATTATTAAATAAAATAAATTTCTTTTAATTTAACACACTCTTAATTAGAAATTGATATTCTAACAATTTTTTTTTGTCATCTCTACACCAAGAATTTGTAATTTCATATTTTCGTTTTTTTTTCTCATGAATTTTTTTTTAACACTTTTGTTCGCAGCAAAACATATTTCAGACGTCTAATTAGAACACTATATGATGGAAAATGAAGTGTAAAATAAAAATAAAAACGAAAGAAAGAAAAAGTTTGAAAAAAAGGAAGAAAAAGGAGAAAAGTGGAAAAATTTGTAACACACGATTTTATGTGCTTTCATTTCAAAAGCATTAATTTTATAATTAAAGTGAATGCATTAATATTAAACAGTTGGAAATTTACATAAAAGATATGTTGTTTCACGAGAAAGCATATTTGGTTTCACTTGTGAATAATACTTATATCACAACATTTACATTTATGTTAGATAACAAATTTTGATTCTGTTTTTCTTAAAGAAAGGTAAATAGAAGTTAAATTAATATATGCTAACTGAATAGGTATAACTACTATAATTTATAAAATTTCCCAAAATGAGAATAAAAGAAAAATAATAAAATCTTTGCCTGACTATAAATCTTTCCTATACTACTGAAAAAATAATAAAAAATTCTAATAAATATTTAGCTCATTCAACTTTGAAATTTTTTGAAAATAATCTAGTCTGACTTAAACGTGACTTTACTACTGAAAATGAAAAAATAAAGTATTTTGTCTGACTTGAACGAGACTACACTACTAAAAATAAAATTTTGTACTTAAAAATTCTACTACAGTAGAAAATTTACAATTATTCGAAAATAATAATCTCGTCTGACTAAAACGAGACGTTGCTACTCAGAACAAGAAAAACAGAAACAAAAAAAATTTTATATCACTTTTTGTTTGAGTTAAATTTGCAATAATTAAAAACGAAACCTAGTCTGACTTAATCGAGACTACACTACTAAAAATATGAATTATTACATTTAGTTATCATGAAAATAAATTTTTAAATTTTCCCGTACCAAAAGCTATGATTTTTTTAAAGTGGTATAAAAAAATTATCTTGCCTGACTTAAATGAGATTTTACTACTGAGAATAAAAACAAAAATAATAAAATCTTTCCCGGACTAAAGCCTTTCTATACTACTGAGAAAATAATACAAATCGGAATAAATATTTTTCTCTTGTTTGTCAAATTTGCAATTATTTGCAAATATTCTAGTCTG